TTCTTGCATTTGATTTTTGAATAAAAACCATATCCACCACCTGGTACCTGGTACTAATCGTCATTGACACACAATGTGCAGATATAACACAATCAAATGTTAATTCTGGTTAAAGAAATATAACACAAAGTGCAGAAATAACAAATGAGTGTGTTCATCTTGGTTACACATTTATGACACACAACGTGTAAAATGTGCACATTGTGTGTTAGGGGCATGTAACACATTTTGTGTGTAAAAATGATTTACACATAAATTAACACAACACTTGTTGTCCCTGCACACTCTGTAGGTGTGTTGAAATTCAACACATGTTGTGTCATTTTTGACAAATCCCTTCTAAGAGTGTAAGTTATAAGCAGTATGGTAATTTTAAGTTAATTAACTTCACCCATAAAGACAACTTCTAGAGAAGCACAGGGGAGATTCTGCTCGGCCTCCTGTGGGGTTTTCTCCTGGAGGCTGGGTGTTTCTTTATATTTTTTATTTGTATTAAAAAACATTTCTCCGCTGTTGTCAGTGAGTATTTTACAAAGACTGAAACAGCGCCCCTCTTAATGAATCTGTGGTGAAACACAGTATTGCACGCTACACTCACCCGCAGTGCGCTGTGTCAGGGACATGTCAAGGAAAGCCCGCCTGCCCTTCCCTTCCGACCAATCAAATCGTCGGAAGGGAAGGCCAGATATGAAATCTCCCTTCTGCACAATATAATATTTGCAAGTATAGAGTAGTGGCTGATGTTTTTAGTCAGAAACAAGTAAACTGTAGTGTACACTTACTACTAATACATAAATGTAGTGCGGAGTTACTTATTTGCACTGTAAGAGACTGTAAATTAACGCAGCCTCTGTCGGTCTTTTCACTCTCACTTTCCCGCCACATCTGGCCACATCTGGGAGAACAATGAAACCTAGCCAAAGTATCAAGATAGCATTAAACATATAGCTGCTAATGCTATCAATATAATGCCGATTGGAGAATGATGGTCACAGAAAATAATGTAAGCTAAATTAAGTTAAAATTAAAATAAATATAATTTAAAAAAAGAAGATGGGCCTAAAGGAAAATAATTGTCATCCAGGCAGCTAAACTCAAACAATATTTAGCTGTTCAACATTGGAAAAACATATTTATTTAAGTTAAAAAATGTTATTTTAGACCCCTAGCTTGCTCACATCATGACAACATATCTGCTCACTTTGTTAAAAACGTTTTGTTTCTGTAATAACTTACCTAGTGTTAGACTCTCCTCCGCTGACACATCCATCCTCCACAGCAGAGGTGAAAAGGGCAGTTTGGATATTTGATGGACAGTTGAAAAATGATACATTTGAAATAACTCAACCGTGATTGGGCAGGACAGTGGACACACACTATTGTTATTGTTGTATTGTTGTTGACTATGTGCATTTTTATTTTACACATGTGTGTGTAAAATGCTTCAGAAATGACACTGAATGTGTTGAATTGCCTTGACACAGCAGTGTGTTAAAAAAAATTGACACATACTTCTAAGAGTGTATGTTCTATGGGTTAAACACATGTGGATGATTTAACATTTCCTCCAATGAAGATAAACATGATTAGTAAATATTGTGAAAGCATTTCACCTTTGCAAAATGTTCGAAAGCTCAGCATTACTATAGGTTAAATATATGAAACGTGGCAGTAATTAGAGTTTCAATTGTGGTTAAAGCACAGCTGGAGGTTCTTAAATGTTGGAAATAAAGTGAATACCATAGACATAGTAAAAATGATGTTCATAGATTAAAACAAACACTTCTTAGTCAGCCTCAACGTTTAGCCAACATAAAAGCATTTTGACAGTTGTAATAATCATGTAAACCAGTAGGTGTAACCAAAACACAACAATCTACAATGTGTCAAACGTAGACTGGAAAGTACTCCACTTGTTTACTTATTTGAAATAAGTACAACTGACAATGCAAATACTTCTTTAGAGTGTGTGATATTTCTTTCTGTATATTTAATGATTACCAATTAGGTCCTTTAATGGGAATCAGTTATAATTGAAAGTCATTATAAACAATGACCTATATTGTCTCCTATTAAAGCACCCACTGAAAATAAGGATGAATCAAATCTGACCCATCTATTCAAAACAAATCTATCTTTATTTTCATATTCAAACAAATACAAATATTAATTAATACAATTAAAAGACTTTCGAACAGCCTAAAACCTTGTGCGTTGAAAATAAATAGTTTTGAACAAGATGGAAACTTTAAAATCAGAAATAAATTATATGTGCGATTAAAACACTTGTAGGGTTCATGTTTCCAGAATGCTGCCCTGATTAAAGCAAGTTAGGCTCTGTTTTTCCTAGAAACTTCAGTATATTCTGTAGATTTCCTCTCCACCTTTGTCAGTGTCACTCTGTTTCAGCAAATCCTGTTTAGTATAGAAAATATGTGTGCTTGTCTTCACTTTTTAATTGTGTTATATATTAGTGACAGGATGAAGAATGAACAAAATAAATACAATTTCTTCCCAAGGCAAAAATGATAACATAACTGATTATAAATTCACAACAGCTTTATTTAAATGTATAACATTCTCAGTAACCACTCACCTCATTTTTGATTATGGTGGGAAGTGCTGTTCACTACAGAAAAATGCTCCAAATATAAGGGGAAGTATTTGACTATTAACTAAGTGAGAAAGGGCAAGTTTATTAATAAACATTTTACATTCATTTAAAAGTGTTTTTTCTTTCAGCTTTAATCTACCAATAAATTAAACTTGGCACACAGAGTATATTTGCATAATTTAAAGCGAGACATTTCAGGCAAAAAACATCTTACATTTTGAGAGTTTGAGAGCTTCCATAACATGTAGTTGGGAAGAACACTCAAAATAAACATTTTGTTTCTTACTAAACTTACCCCAACATTTCAGACATCACTTTTAATGTTTTCTCGTAAAGTATCAAGTACTGAAGTTTGTAGAGGCTGCACTTGTTACGGCCAATAATGTATTGGCTATAATTTAATTATCACAATAATTCATAACACAATCAAGTTTAATCATTTGGTAAAATGTCCAAAATCTTTTTTAAATGTCCTAAGTCCCAGGTGATATAATCATTATATTTAATGTCTTGTTATGTCAGTCCAGGTATCAAATATATTCACAGCTTAAAAAACTGAAAAACAGAAAATCTTTATTTGTGAGTTTGAAAATAGCTTTGTCTTCGACTTCAGACTCAAGTCAGTGAGGCTGCGGATATGAGAGCATCAATGTCCCGTATGGCTTTAGAGGTTTTCTGTAGAGCCTCTGCGATGCAGTCCTCATTCACTGGTTCATGATTGACCTCCTCTGGAGAGCTGCGTTCAAGTTTAGCACGTCCTTTATCACTCGTTATCAGGTGGTTGTTCTCCAACAAAACTGGGCATGGGATGTTAAAGAGCAACAAATATTCTTCAGCCTTATCTCTGTATAGTAAAAGTACATATACAAGATGTATTATGAGACATCAGCACAGTTCAAAAGACCCCACCACCACACCTACACTTCACAGATAAGCCTCTTTTTGTTGTGAATTTGTGTTTATTTGTAGTTTTACACATCTTTTGAGGATTGTGTAACTCATTTTAGTGTATTTGTCTCTTTGTGGTTTTTAATCTTTTTGGGGTCATATTGTGTCTCTGTGGTTTATTTGTGTCTATTTGAAGGTGTTTATGAGTTCCTCTGTAGTCATTCTCTGTCTCTTTGTTGCCGTTTATGTGTCTCTGTGTAGTCTAATGTTTGTGTTGGTCATTTTGAGTCTTTCTGATATCTTTGAGTGATTTCTCTTTAAAACGCAAGGCTAGGGGTTATGGTTAGGGTTCAGTGTTTAGTAACAATTCATACAATCCCTGCTGATGTGAATTCATATATTGATAACTAAAGTCCCTTTAAGCAAAGGATACAGTTGAAACGTTTAATCTTCTCCAATTCTGCAGCTACCAGATCTGACCTGAATGAAAAGTAATATAACATTATATACAATTATTAAAAGTATGAATACAAATACAACTAGTGATCAAACTCACCGACTTTCTGCAGTCTGTGTGACATTCACATGCTGCTCAAAAGAAACAAGATTGGGAAGATGTTCTTCCATCCTTGCTGGTTGAGAAGAACGTCTCCCCTGTAAACAAAATAACAATCAACATTATGGCTGCAACTAAAGATTTTATTTATCATTGATTTGCCTATTTTCTAGATTAATATTCCTAATCAGTCTGTAAAACTTCATAAAATAGTAAAAAGAAAAAAAGCCCAACCCAGCTTTTCATAGCCCTAAATAATTTGGGTTGTCAGACCAAAACTTGAAAATATTCAGTTTCATAAGATATAAATAGTAATTATAAGGAAATCTATATTTGAAAGGCTGAAAACTGCATGTTCTGCCAACTATTAAATGGTTATCAAAAAAGTTGGCCATTACTTTCTGTTGATCTACTATTACTGCAGCTGTAATCAATTAAGAATTGAATACAAAAAAGTCTATATAAACAGCCTTTTAAACAGTCATTATCAGCAGGGACTTCTTAATTGTACCTCTTGCAGGCAGCTTGGTGTCGCAGTGAGCTTCAGGGATTGCTTGGCCTCATTATAGCAAGCCAGTATCCTGTAACGCAGTGAGGTGATGATGGTCAGGGACTGATGCAAAAAGGTCTTTAAACTCATCAGCCTGTGATGGAGCAGTGTCTCACCTGTCTGCACGGCTCACAATGGAGCACACAGAGTACAGCTGTCCGGGTACGTCAGGGGGAAGGCTGTTCAGATGGTATGTTACCTCCTTCACCTGTGAGATAGACCAATCAGTGGTTCAGTATTTCAGATCCAAAAATAGTTACAATTGTATTTTACATTTGGTAGATTCAATGTTATGATGAGGTTTATAATAGATTGAATACTCAATTATTCTTGACAGGGTGTTTTTGTTCTGCTGAAAGGTTTAGTTTTTATACATTTAGTTTGATAGTTATTTAAGTTTGTTTTGTGTAGGAATAGTCATGCTGTTTGAATATTATTTTTCCTTTTATTTTGTTTTGTTTATTTTTCCGGGCATGAAAAAGATAAAAGGTAAACACCTGTATGAATGGAGAGGTTCAGCAATAGTTAAAATAATAATATATAAGTATTAATGAATGAACAAATATATTTAAACTATTAATTCTTGCATAAGTAAATAACAAAAACCTTTTTAATCTTTTGATTTAGGAATCAACTTGTGTCCCGCGCACTCATTCACAGTGGTTGACGGACGGTTATGTCCTGCATGAAATTTGAAAAGTTCAGATATTCACTTATATACTCTAACAGGAAATTTCTTTTCTTTTAACCCTTTAACTGCCAGTGCCACCATTTGGTAGAGCACATTTTGTGTCTTGATATCTTGTTGAAAAATAAATTAAAAAGTTGACCATCTGATTCAGCCAGCTCTACCATTTGGTTGACATGTTATGCACAAAACAACCTCTAGATGTCACTGTGGTTTGAACAGAATGCTAAAAATCGCAGCTGAAGAAATCACTCTTTTTGGTCAACTTTTGTAAGGTAACCATATCATTCTTGAAATATTTTAGTGTCAGAGCACTTACTGAAAATAATTAGATAACTTGATGCACAAAAGAAGCTTTAACAAGGGTGTAATTATTTTTTGGAAAATATGCTCAACCAAACGGTCAAATTGGCCTTTTATGGTAAGCTAGCAATATGACTTTTTCAGAGTTTCAGAGATGTTTTCCAATAAATCTAGTACTGCCTTATGAGTCTCAGAGTGATTTTTTTAAATGATCTTTTATGAATATATCTGGTTTTATATACTGCTCATTTTCCATAAAAGAAACAAATGTATTTGAGTTTGTGTTTTATTTGAGTTTGATGCATACCAAATACAGTACTGTATATGATGATTGTTGAAAATGCACTTTTTTAAAAATTGTTTGTGGTTATTTGTGTCCAATTTGATTAAAAAATGCAAACAAATAATTTTTCCATAGCTTTCTTTCTTGGTCTGGCCATTAAAGGGTTAAATGCATTCCACACTCTGTAAAACGATCTGCTATTGGTATAGCTTATCTGCAGCATATGTATGTATGTGCATATGTATACAGTCGATTTGTATGAGTATAGGTATTTGCTGCATGTATGTATATGCATATGTATTACAATCGATTTATATATTCGTTTAACAATGTTCCTGGTAAATAATTGTGTGTATGAGGCTCACTGGCAGTGAATGTAGGGGATTATACTTTAGTCGTTGTTATTGTTTGTTTGTGTTCTCTTTGTACATACAATCAGTACAGACCACGGTCTCATTTGTATGCATATATTTAGCTTTCCATCTCTAAAGGACAAACACTAGTAATGCATTGTCGAAACGCAATAAAAAGATTTATGATCAGGAATCAACTTGAGGACATTTACTACTACACTCAATTTCACCACAACCCTAGTTTAAGGATAACCTACTACTTTTAAATTTATAAAGGATAACCTATCCTAATATTTGCTCAGTTTTGTGTTTTAGTTAACACTGTTATGACAAACTCACCTGCCCTGAGAGGAGTTTGTGATGAGTAAAATAATTATTAAGGACCCCATTAGACCGCATGACTGATCCATCGCCTGGAGAAACCTCTATGACTGAGACCGTCCCGCTCAGTATCCTACACAGGAGCCAAACAGGACGAAACATAATTAACACTATACATCTTCTTTTTTTTCAGTGGCTAAAATATGTTTTGCTGTCCCGTGCACAATAGTACAGTGCTCTAACCCCAATCTGCATCTCTGAACTGGGGGCATGCTGTCCACCATGTACTATAAAATAACACACGGACTATTTAAAAACCCAATCCATCCCTTTAACCCTGAAGAACCTGCCAACCAACCTGTAGGTGACTCCTTGACACCTCATCACTTTTAACAACTCTGTTGGAAGATCTTGGTCTGGATGTTCTTTTTCCACCAGGCCGTCTTCAACCTTCCATCTTAAATACATAAAAGTAAGGAAGATTAAATCAGTCTTTGAACATTGTTCAACAGTGCTCCAGATGTTCCATATTTCTTTCCATTTTAGTCAATTGGTCATTCAACCTGTGCCTGTGAGGTGATGGACATGTGAGAGGCAGCGCCAGAGGAAGATGAGACTGTCTTTCTGTGATGGATATTTCTGGCTTGTTGATGCTTTCGTGTTCCTGCGTGTTTTCGCTGATTTCCTTTGTTCTTATTTCTTTAGCTTTAGAGAGACGAGTAGTCCAGAGATGCCGAGCCAAGGACAGAGGGTAGCACCAGGGTGGGGCAACAGCGCAGCAGGAGTGATGCTGGACCACTGTGGTGGATTGATACATCTTCTCTGGCTGGGGAAGGGAAGTCAAATATTAAATCAAATCTATGATATATAAGCAGAATAATATTACTAAGAGGCATTACCGTTGGCTGAGCAGTGCTGAGAGTCCGAGGGGAACAAGACCTTGATCTAATAGATTCATTCCTTCTGCTTCCGATTCCCTGATGAACCTGTTTGTTCTCAACATTGGAAGTCTGACAGATCAGATTGCTTATTTGCTGCTGCTGAGGATGATTTCCTGGGCTGCTGTCAGAGTCTCTGCTGAAACCCTGCATGCTGCGGCGCTGAGTCTTACTGAGGCTGCTTGTAAACTCAACGGAAAATTCGTCACCAGAAGCCGACAGCATCAACGCAGCTCGTCCCTCCTCCGACCTGATGATGGTCTCGCCTGCAGGTCCCAGCTCAGCATCAAATGAAGACCACTTAGGCCACAGCACATCTGAGTCAATGCTGACAAAAGGCTGAAAGAGGAAATGCAAAAAATATATAAAATACTGACAACATTCATACATTTGAGGACTAATATTTGGCAAGCAAATCAATTTTGTTACCTTTTTGCGGTCAGCAGGGATGAGCTCCTCTGGCAGATATGGGCGACTTGCATATTTATTCCTAAACGCCAATGCAGCAACTATGAACTCCTGTAAAATGAGATTATAACTTTAAGTACATAATACAGAAGACAATCAAACTGTAGACCTTCAGCCAAGCGAACAACAGCGTGAGCCTCATTTGAACCTCTTTATATACATGACATGCACAAACTGGGACCAACATACAGAAACGCTGATACTTTGCACCTTATAAACGCTGATGGTGAATCTGGTCCTCTGTCGGACCCTCTCAGTGGGCTGCAGAGGGTGTCCGGAGGGGTCTTTGGGTTTCACCAGCATGAACTCACAGCCACACGGCGACATTTGTAACTGAGCTCCGTTTCCGTAACGAACATCCACCGATTCATCCTCGTAAATGATCATCAGGCTGTCACTGAGGCTGGTTTCCATCTTTAAACCTGAAAAAGACACTCAACTTGTTGTAGTTGAGTTGGAGACGCGCTTAAAATAAAAAATACTACGTCATCAGGTGGAGACGTTTGTTATTGGCGCGCTCATGACACACCCCCTACACGTCGCGCCCACCTGACAAGACACTACGGTGGCTGAGAGACATTGATACCGTACATGGCAGATTAAAAACGAATTGCAAATGTTATTGTAGCATTTTAAGCAACTATTAGGCAAATTAATTAATAATCTACTCTATCCGTTTGAGACACAACAGTATATGACTTTAAGCACAAATCCTTTTGTCTAATTATTAAATTAAATAATGAGATCTATTAATTATGTTTGTCTAACTGCTACACATGTATTTACATAAATGTAGATATTTGTGAACATCTAAATATAGTTGTTAAAGGTTTTAAGATATAAATAATCACATCATGGGGTCATTAAACTCAAAGACATGAGCTGCAGACATGATCAGTAATGCACAGGGCAAAAGCAGAATGTTACCAGTATATTTACAACAGTTTGTTTTTGGATCAGACAAGGAAGACCACAGAAGGAAATTAAATTTTAAGCATCCTTATGCAAGTATGAGTATGACTACTCTTAAGCAAATGTGTATGTCGGTGGTTGGTGTACAATTGTGGAATTCTCAACAAAAGGATCTAAAGAATTGTATATGTATTTTTCAGTTAAAGAAATTGTATAAATTAAGAAATATGGGACTATATGAAGCAGAATGTGAATAAGTCTATGTACTCTGGTCCTGCATTGTAAAATGTTTTGTGATGTATGTTCTTTATTTGCAGGTCCCATTGTTATTGTTATTATTATTATTAGGCGCCGCTTTCCACCTTCTTCTCCAGTAGGACTCAGATGAGGGTGTACTGTTATGTTTGACTGCGAACATTTTTTTTTTATTATGAAGGGCAGACCATCTATTTGTATTTATTTTGTTTTTTTTAGAAAGGGGCAGGTCATATAAGATTTTATTCTTCTCAGAAGAATAAAATCTTATATGACCTGCCCCTTTCTAAAAAAAACAAAATAAATACAAATAGATGGTCTGCCCTTCATAATAAAAAAAAAATGTTCGCAGNGGGGAATATCTGTTAGATACGTGAACGGGTTGGTGGGGACCTGCGGGTTTCGCGTTATATCCCTTCTGGGTTAATAACCCTTTCCAGGTCTGACTGGCCCTCCTAATTTGGTCTAAAAAAAGTAAATGATGATAATTGTGAAGGGGTGTCCAGCCCATATCAATAACATACCAAACTACAGGCTCATGTTAGATTCAGAAATTAGTTTTAAAATCATCTCTTCATGTTATAGTAGGCCTACNTATTGATATGGGCTGGACACCCCTTCACAATGATCATCATTTACTTTTTTTAGACCAAATTAGAAGGGCCAGTCAGGTCAGGCCACTAATGAGCTCAATAATTCACATGTATTACTTTATAAATTAAGAGTACTAGGGGTATATTACAAAACCTTTGAAGGAATCATCATGCATTCTGAATGTTTCTGTACTTTAAAAACATCATGGCTCATGGTCTCCTATATAAATACATAGTAACAATTGAATTCCTGATATCAAAAAAGGATTTTGAACTCGTTGAAATTGTATTTCTAATATCAACAATTGGCATTTCGACTAGTTGAAATTGAATTCCTGATATCAAAAAAGGATTTTGAACTAGTTCAAATTGTATTTCTGATATCAACAATTGAATTACTGATATCAGAAATTGGAATTTGAACTAGTTCAATAATAATAATAATCAACATTCAATCTTGTATTATTCATTTTAGCACGCAACAGGGAATTTAGTTCGGAAAAAAAACCTTTTACTTGTGGTAGGAGACGGCCTAGTGAAAATCATCATATATCATTATAGGCTAAGATTTTAAACTTTAATCTGACACTGCAGAAAACATAATGATGCATCAAAATCAATGTTGCTGCCAATCCTTGATCCATATCAGGGTCTAATAATAATACTAATGCAATACTCCTTGAAATTTATTTTATGGAAATTATTCTAGTTTTTTGCTTTTTTCAATTAAAAAAAGTGGAGTTTTTTCAACAAACTGGCATTTAAAGGGTTAAAATCTCCAAAATATAATTCATATTTCATATGTGTATGTCAGGCTGGAGTAGTTTTAAAAGATTGACTCTTTTAAAGTGGGGAAAATATGAATATATCGTATTTTTATAGCAGTTGTTGTGAAGGTGGCATTTTTCAAGGGACTGTGAAGGGAAGAGGGATGATGAATCTGTTTGTTGACAACAGGAACATCAATGGTGAACATGTATCCCATATGTCTGTAAAGTAGGCTGGACTTCTGCAGACTGTCCATGGAGGGCAGTGAAACAGAGTGGTTGCGCCCAGGTTGCAGAGCTCACACAGAAGAAGCAGCCTGGCCCGGGGCTCGAACATTTCTCTCACACCAAGACGCATTCATGCAATTTAAGAAGTGATGCCTCATATTGCAATGTGTTCACCGCCTGCCTCCTCTTCCACGGTAGAAACGCCGGAGCTGCAATGAAGGTGCCGTTTTCCTTTACATAACCTTTGATCCATTTTTAGCTCTGCTTAGACTGAGGCTAGCAGCAGGGAGCTAACGTTAGCTACAGAAGCTTCATGTCACTGACGTTATGTCACCTAGCCTCTGTTAGAAAACTGTCACAAGACAGAAGCTCAGTGACAGCTGCCAAACACCGACCTGACAGGAATGTAAGGCATGCAATTGTTTTGGTAAATGCATTTGTTTTGTTATTCGTATTGCAACGCTAGCGTCAGCTTGGTATCGAAAGTGTTTTAAAATGTAGCTTGCTTGACGTTTTATTGTCTGCCTTTGTTGTGGAATGTTGTTCTTCCTGTCTGACTATTTGTGCTTTAATTGTGTAACATAGCGTTGTGTTTAGTTATTATTTATAATATGCATCCAAATGAGGCAACTTTACAAAGAATATGGCTTGTTTCAGAGCATAAATCAAGATTAAAAGGCTTTATTGTCACAGTAGCTACCGTGTAGTCAACGCAATGAAAATATGTCAGGCTTCTCCATCAATGCAACATAAAACAATAAAATAGAATTTTTTTAAATAGCACAAGAAATAACAGAATAGAAATAGTATAGTGCAAGAGAATGTTGCAATTCTCCTATGTTGCAGGATGAGTGAAATATGTATATGTAAAAATTAATAAGATGAGCTAAAAATAACATGTATAATCAAATACTCTACAGTGAAATAAAAATACTGCTTGTTGTAATAATAAATAAGTATGGGAGGTGCAAAGAATCATGCTGTTATGCTCCTATTAATGTCTAAAAGCTGAATGTGAGATCCTGAAATTATGCTGTGTTTTCTGACTGTCAGGCAGGGGCCTCGTCCATGTGGGCTTCATGCTGTGGTTTGCTGAATGAAGTCATGGGTACAGGGGCCGTCAGAGGCCAGCAGCCAGGGTTTGGGGCCGGTGCTGGACCCTTCAGATTTGCCCCAAGTGCGGGATACTCCACATACCCGCCCGCCAGCTCAGGAAGTCCCAGTCTGGTCTGCAAGGCCTGTGGTCAGGCCTTCTCAGTCTTCAGGAGGAAGGTAGGTGTCTTCCAGTACATGTTCACAGCTCTACTTACCTAATTAGAAGGAAAGGTGTTTGTGTAGAAGCAGAGGGAGGTATATGATGAATATTTTAAACAGAAGGACTATTTGCCTGCTGTTTTTGGCTGTGGAAATGCATCTAGTTAATAGCACGTAGATAGAGAACATGTTTTTTACACTTGTTTTCTTGTCTACGTTAGTCATAGGTATTTTTAAATATTGTATAGACTAGACTAAAAGTGACTGTCTAACTATTAGTGTAAAATATTATAGGGAATAGAGCACCTCGATCATCTAAAAAAATAGTTTGCCAAATTGAAAAAATATCAAAACTCAATTTAATTTACACCCAGAAGCTATTAATTTATAATGAGGAGGCTGTGCCATTCCAACTGATTGCAGAGACAGATGGAAACCATGCTTGCTCTGTAATATCTTCAACGAGTGCTCATGTTCATGCATGGCTTATGGTCTCATTCTGTCTGAACCCTGTGCTTCACTCGCTCACCATATCAGTCTAATCCCACATCTTGCATTTATTACTGTTTGATGTTTGTCACTTAAAAGAAATGAGCTTCCTCCTGTCTCTGCACCAGGAGAGGTAGAGCAGATGTGAGTGATTGAAAAATGCAGGAAAGGACTTCTGGCATCGAGGTGCTTTCCAGTCATTTGTTAAATGTAACATGTTGAAATTTGAATAACAAAGGGTAAATAGAAGCAATTTGCCACACTTTAGGCAAATGTAGGCGTTCCAGATAACATTTTCATGACACATTTATCTCGGCCAAAATATTTGTGATTCATGATTTTATCTCGATGATAATCAACATATGATTCAAACTCTTGTGCCTCTTAACATAAATGAATCACATTTCATTGTATCACAAATAGGACATCTTTTTTATTATCCTTTTTAGGGAACAATCATAAAAAGGTCATATTAAATCCTTAGATCCCCCGGCATAGATAAAGGGTAAATAAATAGAAATAGAAATAGCAGCATCGTGGGTCTGTGCTTTTATGCCTGATTATTCTGTATTATAAATTGTGCTCAATTTTTTAAATCCTCTTCCATAAAAGCAAACAAGACAGCCTTCCAAGTCACAAAATTCACAATGATTATGTTAATGAAAATTCTCCTCAATAAAATAATTGTTAGTGTTTTTTGTCACAGATCCAATCATCACATCCCTTTATGTATGTCAAATGTGTTTTTATTCTTTTATGGTTGTGTTTTGACAGTCACTCATTCTAGACATATTCCCAAATTGCCTAATTTCCATCATCTTGTTTTTCTCTCTCTGCGTTCCTGCAGTATATTTGCTGCGACTGCAAGAGGAGCTTCTGCTCTCTGTGCTCCGTGCTTCAGGAGAATCTGCGTGTCTGTGCCACATGTCATTTGCTGAAGGCGACAGCGTTTCAGCGTCCGCGGCTCATGCGCCTACGAGTCAGGGACCTGCGTCAGTACTTGCTGCTCCGCAACGTCCCCACGGATACCTGCAGGGAAAAAGAAGACCTGGTGGACTTGGTGCTTTGTCACCGAGGCATTGAGGAAGAGGAGGACCGAGACGCGGCCAGCCTCCACTCGCGTTCCCTCTACACGCCGATCCCTTCCGCCACGCAGTCAGCCTCAGAGCTGTCGGCCTTCGTCGCCCCTCAGGAGGAGCCGCTCAGCAGGAGTGACAGCTCTGACACCAACCAGGTCAGAACTTCTAACCATGTGTGATTTTTAGCAGCAGCACACATTACAGATGTACACAACAATTGTCATTACAATACTGCAATAGACACGAGACAAAGCATATGTTCCTAACAGAAGTTACAGTTATATCAACTCACAAAAAGCAACACTTTAGCAATTCCAATTCTGGGCTCTGTAGGAAGGAGATGCGCTTCAAATTGTGACACAGACGTACCTTGAGAATTTCAAGAGATAAAGGCATATCTTAAATAGATTGATACATCTCAATGTTTTTAACCTATATACATCTAGATCAGTGCTTCTCAAAGTGTGTTCCGCGGACGCCTCCTAGTGCTCCGTGAGTATATTGGTAACATTTCACATTTGAAATAAATAAATAAATTAACGTTTTCCTCACTTTCCCGGAAATATCTCCGCAATGGAGCGAGCTTAAGTTTCACTTTCGATTGCATGATATAGCCCAGCGCACAGAGGAGAGGAGCCTGACAAGTGGTGGAGCCTGACCACCACTTGTTGACATGTCACCAATATAGAAACTAATTGAAATATATTTCATTCTTGCTTTACCACAAGCAAGTTGAAAATGAAATGATCAGGAATATAAAGCAAATAAGAAGAGCCATAACAGGCACTGAAAAGAGAGCTTGGCTCAACTATAAATACTTGGCCTGCTTAGGGAGCAGTAAGCATGGAAGCTACGAGACATTGTTGATCCAGGGTATCAATGAGCTGTTTGAAGAGTGTGTAATCCTGATCCTTAGTCATCGGGCTTATTCCCAGCGTATAGTGCAAACTAATGTTTGTTATTGCCTCTGCTGTGTTGCAGGATATAGGTGATGCCACATCTGTGTCTCTCCTCAACTTGGACCCCAGTGAACACACTCCGGAGGTAATCAGTGACTTATACAATTTCCTGCTTTCATTATGAAATCATTCATATGTGATGTTTTGGAAAGTGCATTTCATTTCTGTTGCTGAATGCGTATAAATAGAAATAACTGATGACACAGCTCTATATGCAGTATATACTTTTGTGTTGAAAATTGCCAGGTTAGCAATATAAGGCTTGCAAATGAGATGCTAATGCCTACAATTGCTCAGCTCCATCTGAATAAGCAAACAATGAAACACAAGATTCTATCGCATATAACAGTTTTTTCAAACATCTTCTGCCCGTTCTGCAAAAGAGTGTTTTCTGCTCAAAACAAGCAGTAATAAACCCCTTTTTATATTGCATCTACATTTTTAATTACAAGAATTCTCAAGTGGTGGTGAATGCTTGCTATTAAAAACAACACAGGATTCTTGGAAGTGTAAGCTGTATTTTTATCTAACTCTCATAGTGAATACAATTGTTGTCCCTGTGTACGTCTGCAACCCCGTTCCTCTCTTATGCATGAGGCTAATCTGCCAAGTTTTTAAAGGGAAATCTCAACGTTCAATCCATTTTGCCCCTAATGTCGTGTTTCCTGCTCCTTCAGGTCAGTCCTCAGACGCGGCGTCGGGCCAGAGCGTCGCTCTCAGATATCTCCAGCCTGAGGGACATCGAGGGCCTGTCCGTCCGGCAGCTGAAGGAGATCCTCGCCAGGAACTTTGTCAACTTCTCAGGGTGCTGTGAGAAGTGGGAGCTGGTGGAGCGGGTCAACCGACTGTACAGAGAGACGGAGGAGAACAGGAAATCATGTGGGTATCAACTTAGTCTGAGTAAATACTGTGGGATTTAGTTTGGCAGTTGTTGGCTTTAACAATGTCCTGTTTACATGCATTTACTATTGAATGTATTCACTAGGGTTAGGGTTACCAAATGTCCATTTTAGATAAGCTTCTATATCGAGGTTTCCCAAGAAAGCTTCAAAAGTCAGTCATTATATTTATGTCATCACCCTAAAAAACATAAAAACACTCGCCATTTTAATGCAGTGATTAATCAGATTAAATGTAGATAGTTTAGTCTTTTTTAATTAAATCAACTTTCTTTAATGAATATTTCTTTTCAGTGTTTGTTAGATTGCTGCTTGTCTGCCCTGTTAAATATAGGATCCTGCCTCCCTTGTGTGTGGCAAGCAGGAGAGCAAACAATTTGACCACAATGAAACAAAAAAAGAAGACAAAATAGACAGCAATCTAATGTTGATTTAATTCAAATTTAAACACAATAAATTACGTTTTAAATATTTTCGGTAAAGCCTGTGTATTGACAGAAAGGAATATAAGATGTTTTAATAAGTTGCAATACTAATTTAAAATGATTTCTCTTGCAGTGGAAAATGTGAGCAGTACAGAAACCACAGGTAAGCTGTCACTCAACTGTGTGCACTCTCCTAAATGTCAGCATTGGAAACCACATCCTGTTTTTATCCACAAAAACCCAATATCTCTGCTCCTTAAGACAATATGATATACTGTCGCTAGAAATAATAATAATTAACTTCACAAGCGGAGTCATTTAAATGCGTTTTTCTCAATCAGAATCATAATGAAATGTCTCTTGCTTGCTTTACTCCTATCACTCTTAAGTGGTGGCCTTTCCCCCTCCTATCTGCAACGGGGCCGTCGGAGGTAAGGCTTATGCCACTGTTGCCATGGTCACATGCACCACCTGTGACTCACCACCACATCTGTATTCACCGTGAACCCATTATCATTCGTTATCCCACTTTCGTCTTTGTGTAATCCCCATGTGTCCTCCCTATGTGTCCTCCCTATGTGTCCTCCCTGTGTGTCCTCCCTGTGTGTGCTCCCTGTGTGATAATGACATTTAGTGTGAGAGTTTCTTTATAAAGGATGGAAATCATTAATCCCGCAGGTTCATCGATCCACCATGATCATTCTATCATCCATTCATGTGCTTGGATGTGTGAAGCAAGTCATTCTGAGGAAGTGTAGTCTATTAGCCGTGTAAACCCACTCTCCTAGCAGCAGGCTACCAGTTATAAAGACTGTATGGTCGTCATAGAAACACCTTGACATATTGCTATTACGGGCATTGACATTGACATCACTCTGTTATTTCATCGCTTTGCTAGGAGGAAAACTTCCATTAAATGACCTTTTGCATATCATTTACTCACCCTGTGTTACTTAGTATTCTTTAAGAAAATGATGAACAAAGATAAAAAAATAACAGAAAAACAAATTAATTCAAATTACTCTTCTCCATTTTTTTATTCTTTGTTCAACATGGAGACATGTGATCATCTTGTGGGTGACTTACTCATTTTTAAAACAGTTTCCTCACACTTCCTTTCACCTCTTCGGTTCTCCTCCAGACGGTGAGAAGGGTCCGCTGACGGTCCAGGATGACAACCTCTGCAGGATCTGCATGGACGCTGTGATCGACTGCGTCCTCCTGGAGTGCGGTCACATGGTCACCTGCACCAAGTGCGGCAAGAGGATGAACGAGTGCCCGATCTGCAGGCAGTACGTCGTGAGGGCCGTGCACGTCTTCAAGTCCTAATGCACCTCTGCAGGTCTCAGACTTTGTGTGTTTTGAAGTAGGGGTTGTATGAGGTACTAACTCAATAACATACTGTGTTAATCCGTGACTTTGGTAGGTTCAAATTCTCCAATTGTGGCAGTGATAAACCAGCAACTCTGGTGTTCTGTGAGGTAGAATTACATTTTTCTTTCAATGGAGTCTGGTGGCCTTGAATGGAGGAGATATGAGAGAGACAAGGGCTGGAGATCCTCTTTGGAGCGAGCCATCTCACAGCAAGGTAAAGTGGTGAAAATATTCTAAATATAGCGTTCACTCCAACTGATTTGGATTATTCTTTAAGTGGCTGAAGTATGTTTTGCTGCTGCTTTGTCCACAATAGTAATTTGCTCCAGGGCTGCTACTCCAAACTGTGGAGGCCAGATGCCAGGCGCTCTAAGCAATACTGAACACTCGCTTTGGAAGTATCTCATATAACCCTACTTTAAAACATCCACCTTTAAATCAACCATGCAGCTCATAACTTTGAATCCGCAAAATAGTTATTTTGTGGGTTTTCCCACGTTTGTATTCATTCCCTTAAAACTCTCACACTATTTGCACATTGAAATATTGTGAGAAATGTGTTTTTATGAATACCTTGACTTCAGTTTCAGTCATTCCTCAAGTAAACATATCTCTAATCTGTGTTCATTCCTAAGTGTCTGTTTGGCTTTTCTTACAGTTTCTCAAAGCAAAGAATGTGTGGCACTCAGCCACTTGTAGTCCTGTCTAACACAACGCATCACCCTCAGATCTGCCTATAAGCTGTAGCTTCTTTACGACTGCTGCACGTCAATACATATCATAGAAACACCGAGGACAGAAGCAAACTGAACCTCACCACAGGACAGAGGGTGAGTGAACAAGGTGCCAAATAATGGGTGTTGCTCTATGCCTGTCACCCATTTCCTCCCCCCTCCACTGTGTGGGTGTCAGCATGTGCGGATGTTGATTTTTCAGCACTTTGTTCACACTGTGTTAATGCACCACCGCTCACAACAGTCTCTAAACTATGACCAATAACAATGGCTGAAGTAACATGTGTACTGATTCTTGGAAACCTTGTGAGATGAAGTTTAAAGGCTACTTAATTTGTTTGTTTATCAGTTGAAAAAAAGATCAAATTAGAAATAACTGAGCTTGTTTTTTCTTTTGAAGTAAAACCTAGTGTTACTCAGCCTAGAAATGGGCAAGTGCTATGCAGTCTTGACTGATGGAATCAATGCATTATTAATTATATTGAATTATTATTGTTTTAGAGGCGCAGAATAATGCACTTAGCGCTGCAACTAGTTGTTCATTTGTCTGCCTATTATTTTCTTGATTAATTGTTTGGGCTTTAAAATGTCAGAAAATTATTGTGTTGGACTCACACAATACAATGTCTTATTGTGTGAGTCCAAAACCCAAATATATTAAGTTTTTAATATGGGATAAAACTGAGGAATGCAGTAAATCTCTATATTTAAGAAGCTAAAAATCCATAATGGCATGCAAAAATTACTTTTACCATTATTCAAATGAGTTTACATTTTTTTTTTCGAAAGTTATGTAATTCATTAATCGCTGCAGCTCTCAATGCATTACACATTTAAACCGTCATACAAAGTCTCTTACAGCAATAGCTAACCTCGGCTGTAGCTTCTGTCTTAGCAGCTTTTTAGTTGAAAGACAAAAACCGGTGCTAACTCCTCCAACCATCTTCCTGTTTCCAGCTGAACTGTCGGTGTGAAACTGAATGTTTGTTATTTTTGTTGTTGTACATCGTTTGGAGTGGAATGAAGTGCTTTTTAGTTTTTTTTTTTCTCATACTAACTTTTCAAAGATATAGCTCCAAGTTTACTGACAACTGTGGTATAGAAAAGTATATACAAAATAATGACTTGCTAATGTATATTTGCATATAATGATCCATATGAGATGTAAATATCTATTTTTTCCATTTGATTTGAACGGTGTAATATCAGATTATTGAAATGTCACTGGGGTTGGGTTTATTATATCAGAGTAACGTTTTTCTGTCAAGTGGTTTTGAAATGTGTTTAATCTGCATAGCTTGAATGATCTGTCCCTCTTAAACCAGAGCATGATGAGAACCGTATGACGCTGGTTATGTTATTCCCCATCTTCTCCACATTCTCCCCCTCTACTCCTGCACATTTTAGAAGTACCCAGACAAAGTCAACATTGCTGCTCTTAGAGTAAAGATGTCCCTAAAATCATTAGCAGCAGCGGAGCAGGAGCATCTTTCCTTTAGAGAGGGTCGAATAGTGTGCAAGTCTTTGTATTTGGGGATGTTGAACTTTTTATTTTGGTAATTAAAGATTTTATTTAAAGCCTGTTTTTGTATACTCGTGCATCACCGACAGTTTCCCTTTAACCATCTTAGATCAAATATGAATTGCTGAAATAATGAAATGAATTCATCAACACACACAAAAATAATTATATTTTGATAATTGAGTAATAATTTGAAGTTGTTTAGTAAGGTAAAAACACCAAATATTTACTGGTTTTGGCTTGTCAAATTTAAGGTGTTCTAAAAATATTTATCGAGCATTACCACCTGAAGATGGTGCTATGTTTAAGGGTACTTTACGAGATCCAAATGATTACAGATTGTCTTGTCGGGGCAAGAATCGCTTAAAACACCATCCATCCTGTAATGTAGAGACATTTTAAACAAACCAGGACAACAATCGATGCATCACCAAAGTATGTAACATTTAATTATTTGGGGAGCAGGAATATATTTACAAAATGATATAAAATGTATGTCAAGATATATGCATCATTCTGGAACAAAGCAGTGTACTGACTGACCTTTTGGTTATGCATTTTCAGAGAGATGTATTCTGAGCGTCACTCAGCCTCACCTACTGGATCAGGTTGAAATGTGGTACTCTGTATACTAAAAGAAAACCGATAGAAAATCGCAAGAACCGAAGGACATTTTGCAAACATGTATTCACATAAGTAGTTCTAAAGTGATCATATTAATTAAAAATACATAATCCAAAACGCCCCAAAAAATAGGATTTCCACTTGTATTCACTGCCTCGACGTTGAGCTTTATTTCTGTGCAGAATTAATGTCGTTTTAAATGTAGAAGTTGTTCGGTCCTGCATTAAAAAACAGAAGGCCAAAGACCTTTCTTAATTTAGCTCCAGCGCTGAAAAACCCATTTAAATATGACTTTACATTTCCCCAAGAAGGAAAGATCCGTTTAATGTTATTGAAGCTTTATGGGAAAGTGTGAGTATTTATTGCAGATATATTGAAATAAATGGACTCAAGAAAGACTCGGTGATGATACAAATGAAATTATTTTAATGCATATTAGCATAGTTTTTGGATTTACAAATATAAACATGATCACATTCACCTCAGGTGATTGATTACAGCACAACACCCCAAAATACACACGACACCTACTGTATGGAGCTTTTATTTAAACATTATGCAAATAAGTTATTTGCACAATACTTTCTTAAGCCTGTGGCCAGATGTGTGAGGCTGACTGTGTCATACAGTCAGTGGCAGGTCATTCAGGTAAAGTCATTTCACATTGTATTAATGTCAACTTCCTGCCACTGACTGTGTGTTAAACTCCACCAACAGGCTCAAACTAACCCGATAAGTTATTAGCTAGCATTATTTGATCCGGTTCTGAGGCATCAATGTCAACTTATTGAATAAATGAATAAATATAAACTGTAATAAAAAAACAAAATCAATAAATTAATGTTGAAATGTCAAACACAACACTCAACAATTTATAAAAGTATTAAGATAAGTGAAGACATGAGGGTGTGAAAGGAAATATGTTCGTCGTTTTGAAATACATTCTAAATATTTGAGAAAAAGTAATGATAATTTAATCAGATATTTATTTCTGTACAGGTCATCTTTTTTTGTCTCGATACTGAAGTTCCATTAAAGTCACATACAGATGTTGACACGTAGAAGATATGGTCGTATGAAGGCAAAGTGAGGAAGGGGATATTTTCTCTGTTCACATGCCATGCAGTCTCTCTGTGATTCTCAGCTCCTGAGACATGTTGAGTAAACTCTGTGAAGTGAAGCTTGTATAAAAATACTGTGTTCTCAAATATTTAAAGAATAAAAATAAACAACCCAACAAATAAACACATCTTTAAAAAAAAGTATAATCGCAACACAAATGCATGCATCCTTTTTTCTGTCCAGTGAATGTGTCTCCGGAATCCGTCTCGTTTCAGTTTCTTTAAATCGATTCAGAGACTTATCACAGGAGCAGTTTACAAAGAAAAATATTGTTCCATTAAGTGCAAAGTCTTTTATTGGTTGTTAGGAATAACTAGCTGGCCTTCTGCAGCAGTTTGTCCTCTTTCAGTCTGAACGGCACGCTCACTGACATTTCTGCGATGAAGCGCTCGCAGGCCGTCCTCGTCACCTGCTTGCAGAAGCGCAGGTCGATCTGACAGATGCTGCCGCAGCGCTTGAAAAAGTTCAGGGAATGGTCTGTGACCCGGTTACAAACTGAAAGGGAAACAGAGAACATTATCAGTCACAAGCTTGATATTTATAAAGGATGTGTGGTGAAACTTGACAGGATATCAAATAGCTTCTACAATTGTTGGATATATTAAGTGCATGTAGGGGTGCTTGATATTGGATTATTGATTATATTTTCCAACTAGTTTTGGGGGATTGCTGTAAGCGATATACACTATATATAATTGTTCACCCAGTTGCAGAGAACATTACGTTTCTCCTGTAGTGAAATTAACATATTGTTATACCTGCTGGCAAAATGAGAAAACTGCTAAAGTCTTACATGATCCTGTCAGGGGCTCTACTGAAACTGGAACAAGTAAGCAGAGTTTGATTTACAATATCAAGATGAAATCTATAATACATGAGATTAAATCCTTCTTTTTGTCTAGTTGTAATTATGTAATAAAAGGTCATTAACAAACATATTTCAACATAGTTTCTGTCTACAAAATGAACACTTAAAATAGGAAACTCCCTATCTTTTGTTCTCTGCTAATCACACCTAATTGACTATATATTCTGATGATTTTGGATTGTAAATTGACAAATACTTAATTTACTTAATTTCTGTTTATATCATTTTGGAGAAACCAGTTAGAGTGCGCTAGAAAATACACAACCGGAAAAAATCTGCCACTTCCTTACAGAGCCCCTCCTCCAACACACACGAACGCGCACATGACCAATGAGGGCACGAGATAAGTGCACAGATGGAAGGCAGGTAGGCCATCCAGTTACTTTAGCCGGGCCGGCTAAAATGATTGGTCGTACTTTTTAGAGCACCACGGCTTCCACAGATGAAACATTTTTATGTATTTATTGTCAAAGCATTTCATATATTCATTGCAATCGGGATGTTAAGAGCATTCCATGGAATATAACAAAAAGTGTTTCTGAAATAAATTACATACCCCACCTTTAATTCTGCAGATTTCATAGATTATTGAGGATGTAACCCCCACTACTAGGGATGCCAGTGATTATTCGAATATTCGTTACAGTCTCCATAATCGAATATTATTTTTAAAAATCGATTTTATTTATATATTTTTTTATTATTATTTATGTTTTTTTTTTTTTCTGGCTTAGTTTCAACCAAAATAGACTAATGGTAATAATAGTAATAGTATTAATAATTGTAAATGGCCATTGGTCACACCACCAGTTTGTTTTACTGTAAACTTGGAGGAAGCCTGCGTGCAGAGCAGACTGCTGCTGCAGCACGCTACACACCGCCCCCGCCCCCACCCCCTCTCTCCCTCACACGTGCGACTAAAGATGAACAAAGCGGCAGGTAAAAAGAGTTCCTCCTCGTGGAACTACTTCGAACTTACAAGTCCAAAGGAAGTTAAATGCAAACTCTGCGAAAAGACGTTAGGTCTAAGAGGTTACAGAGAAAGACGCAGCACTGCTGCGCATAGC